GTTGTATGTTCTAATATGGATGAAATAAATAGATTGAAGGCATAACTGTCTAAAGAGTTTGAGATAAAAGATTTGGGTATTGTAAAACAGATTTTGGGCATGAGTATCAATAGAAACAAATTTGAAGGTTCCCTAATATCAAGAGAAGTATATTGGAAAAGTATTAGAGATATTTAGTATGCATGATGGAAAAATCATAAATACACCTTTGGGAGTTTACTTTAATAAAGGGGAGTAACCGAAGACAAATGAAGACAAGACAACAAAGGACTAAGGTTCCTTATGCATATGTAGTTGGTAGCTTAATGCATGCAATGGTATGTACTAGACTAGACATTGCTCATGTAGTGGGAGTTGTTAGCATATTCATATCTAATCTAGGAAGGAAGCATGAGAAGTTGTCAAGTGGTTGCTACGTTACTTGAAAGGTATTTCTAAAATTGCATTATGTTATGTCAGTTTGGAAAGATATTCTGAGGCATATTTAAGAGGTTGTTTAGACATAAGAAAAAGTACTACATATTTGTTTTCATAGTAGGTGACACAACAATTAGCTGGATGTCTTGACTTCAGAAAAGTGTTGCACTTTCAACCATAGAAGCATAGTACATGACTATTTTGGATGCTGATGAGAAAATGATTTAATTGAAGAATTTTCTTGAGGAGCTGGACAAGAAGCAATGTGATAGTATTCTTTATAGCAATAGTCAGAGTGTCATTTTGCGAAGAATCTTATCTTTCATGCAAAAAGAAAGCACATCCAGTTGAGATATTACTTCATTAGAGAACTAATAAGTGATGATACTTTGAATTTTAGAGAAGATCCCTGGATTAGAGAATCATACATATACATTGACCAAGTTGGTTACTACTGAGAAGTTGAAGTTTTGTATAACTTTAACTAATCATCATGGTTAATTCTTGTGAAGGCATTGCACTAGCTTGGTGATATTATAGTTTTGAGGTTTACTAGATTTATTTGGAGTGTACTTGATGTAATCAGCCTTCAAGTGGGAGATTGTTAAGTATGCATAGTTTGAAGGATTATTGGGTCTAACCAATTTACTTACTTTTTTATTATAAATATTTATGTAATTGTAAAACTAATAAAAGAAAATAAGAACTACCGTCTAGTACAGTTGTGGATAGAAGTCATTTTGACTGAGCCACATAAATTCCTTGTGTTCTTGTTATTTACTTTCATCTTGTAATTTTGCCCGTGTGTAAGAAAGTGCATTTGTGTTCCCCCAATAAAAAGATCCATAATGTCCAAGATGATATTGAAATTCCTTGAGTTTACATATATATAAAAGCTTCTCCACATGATTGAGGTTCAGTTACTATAGTTAATAAAAAGTAACAAGTTTTATGTGTTTGTGATAAATTTGTGTAGGACAGATAGGATGGGATAAGGTATGGAAGTGGTGTATATGTTACAATGAAAACTCGAAAGATATTTAATTGTTGTGTAAGGATTTTCTCACAATGATAGCATAATTATTACGATTATTTGTGTTTAAAGTGATATCTTGGTTGTGAACAGATGAATTAAATTCACATATACTACATTAGGAAAGAATATGTTAATGTCACTAAGTATATATTTTAGGTTTTTTATATTTGACTAAACTCCAACATAAATCCATGTCGGAGTAACTAATTGACATAAATTTATGTTAGTTATTGTATAGTCTAACATAAATATTTTCTATTCTATTTGTAAACAACCAGTTGAGGAGAAGTAAGCAGGAAACCATAATTAAAAAAAAGCACAACAAAAGGATTGGTGAAAGAGTCTTGCAATAATATGTATAAATCCCTACATAAGCATACTAACAAAAATAAAGCAAGTATCATTCTTTTACTTGAATTCATCCACTATTGGAAAAATTAAAGCACTTTAAAGCCATCCTCTGGGAAGGCAACCAAGGAAAAGACAAAGATAATTAACTTTGGGCTTGTCCTTAGAAAAAGAAATAGAAGTCAAAGAAAGTCTTTTTACATCACTTTGGCTGACATACAAGTGGGAACACTCTCAATTAAAAAAAAACATACTTATAAGTCCAAGACATTATAGAATTCAAATTGAAATAAGAATTATAGAAAATTGAAATGAAACCTTGTTAAATGGAGATGGAAACAAAACTGAAGACTTCATATGTTATTCTTGGAAAAGGTAGTTGCTTGAGAGGTGAGAGTTGAGGCGATCAATGACTTGATCAGTCTTGTGAAATAGATATCTAGATGCTTCAATCCAATTGTGGAGAAACATCTAAAACAACCAATGAGTCACAATTTTACCGCTCCTCACTATGATAAAAAAAACACCTAAGAATTTCATGTTAGTGTCATCGTTATCATCGCTCAACAAAAAGATCCTCGTCAGCACAAGAAGCCCTAAAATAAATATAAAACAAACTTTACATCGAATCTATATAGTTCGATGTAAAAAATCATGTTTTAATTTAAAAAATACCGCTATATTTTTTTTTTACATTAGTTATTTACTAATCTGATGAGAAAAAAATTGATGTAAAAAACACATTTTATAACAATGCATAAACATTTTGGAACATTCCAATAAGAGAAAATTAACTTGTGAAACAATAAATTTCTACACACAGTTATTTTTCTAACAGATGACAAGTACATAATTTAACCTTCACGCTTACCTTATCCTAAAATGTCTTTGTTAGATCTTAAGTCAAATTTGATTCTTAAAAAGATAAGGGTGAATGCATGACCAATGTATGTTTTATCCTCCAAACATATCATACTATTAAGAACATGAAAAATATATAGTAATTAAGGAAATATCTATGTCGTGTTCACAAGAAGTATTAATTTATTATTCTAAAATAGTTTTTAATATAATAGAGTCAAGTTAAGGGGATTTGTTTTATTTGTAATTTCTAATCTCTAAAAAAAGCTTAAGAAAGAGATATACTTTAAACTCGGAAAGGAGATGATATCAAACATACAAACAAAATTAATCTCACAAGTGACCACCACTTAGCGTCCTATTACTCCTTCACGTCTACATGTTTCCATTGTTCATGTTAATATAAAGGAAGTTATGTTATTTATAATTAGGGATGACAATTAAACCCGTACCCGTGGGGACCGACCCGTCCCCGCCCCGAGTTTGACGGGGAAACCCCGAGTTGACCGGGGGCGGGGTCGGGTTTTCCCGCTTTAAAAAGTCGGGGCGGGGCGGGGATGTGTAATGCAATCCCCACCCCGACCCAGACCCGTCCTCGCCACGACTTTATATTTAAATTTAAATTTTAAAATATTAATATTTTAAAAGTATTTCATTTTCTTTTTCTATTACATATAAGGTTATTTTTTTATATTTCACCAATTTTTATTTTTCTTCTACCCACTTTTTAATTTTTTTTATCTTTCTCAATCTTTTATATCAATTAATTTATTATATTATTCTCTCCCTTATCTTTCAGTTTTTCACATTTTCTTAGTCTCTCCTATCAATTTGTTTTTTTTTTCAATCTTTTCAATCAATTTAATGAACACAAAGTTAATCTTTTTTCTTTATCTTTTTCTAAATATTTTACATCAATCTTAGTAGTAACTAATATTAGTTTATTTATAATTTATATTTATTATGCCATATTTTTTTATCTTATTATGCTTATTTATCATATATCAAATTTTATCTTAATAAAATAATTGCATTTTAAAGGATTAAAAGAAATTAATAATTTAAACTTTTATTACTTCAAACTAATTAAATAAGAATTAACTTATTAAATATTTTCTTATAAACTATATATTGACAACTTAAAAATGAATTAACTTATATGTATAATTAAATATTTGAATACGAGTATTATAATAATAATGTTATAAATATTCAAATATTTGAATACGAGTGTTATAATAATAATAATAATAATAATAATAATAATGATGTTATAAATATTATATATATATAAATAAAAAATAATTAAATATTTCTTTTACATATATATTTTAATATAAATATAATAAATTAAAATGTATATTTAATTAATAATAACTATAAATTATAAATATTTATTTATATATAAAAATACATAGTAAAATTAATTTATTATAAATATAATTATCTTTTTAAAAATAATATAAATTGGGGACGGGGCGGGGCGGGAACCGAAACCGCGGGGACGGGGATGGGGACTTAATTCCTAACCCTGACGGGGATCGGGGCGGGACGGGGATGGTTAAAAAAGTCGGGAGCGGGGACGGGGAGACAAAACCCGCCCCGCCACGCCCGTTGCCATGCCTATTTATAATTGATCTATATTTATTGATGTCTTAGTGGTTTCGAATTATATATTAATGATTTTTCATAATATTTATGATCTTAGATAATTATTATTTTAATTGTATTTTTTTTTATAATGTGTTTGATTTATTCTAATTAAATTTATATTATTTCCTTAAAAAATATATACAATAAAATCAACCATCTACCACCAAACAATTATGATATAAATGATAATTATGTATTTTTGAGATATTGTTATTTACTACTCGTGTACATGAAAATGATGTAAGAGTGACGACCGTTTGAAATATCATATTTTGCATGAATATTATACTACTTAAAATGATAATTTTAGAATTATTAGATTATATGTAAATAATAAAAATTTATAAAACTCTAGTATTAAATTGTTTTTTTCTTATTAAAATATCTTTTATATATATAATAACAAGTTTATTTATTATTTAATATATATTATTTAGCAACTTATATAAATAGTTAGTCTAAATTTATATTAATGATAAAATCAACATTTCAAAATAACAGTAACGAAAAATTCAAAATAAATATAAGTTTCTCATCATAATGGAAACACGTTTATCTCCTTTTTTTTTCACATATATAATGAAAATTTGTACGTATTATGAGACAATTATTTCCTTTACCCTTTTATATATTGGTGGGAAAAAATTTATCTGTGAACGTGGAAGTGCTTAATGAGACTGACGATATGATAAGGTGCTCAATCTTGAGTGGATACAGACCACTGCCAACGAAATATCATCTTCACGTTCCAACAAAACCAAACTTCCAATCAGTGACCAATTTGAGTAGCCATTATCTCCTTCCATCCTTTCCCATTAAAGCTTGTAATCCTCTTCCATTTTCTTCTCACAAACTCGAAAAACCTTTACACTCATCTACCACCATGGATAATTCGACCTCCACAGACAGTGAAGTAGCCTATGATATCCCTCCCATCCTCAAAGTCTACAAAAACGGTCGTGTCGAGAGGCTAGAGGGTGTCCAGGTTGTTCCTCCGGGGCTTCATCCTGAAACCAACGTCGAATCCAAAGACGTCGTAATCTCCGAAGAACATGGCATATCCGCGAGGCTTTACATTCCCAAAACCACTTACCCCCCACGGAATAAACTCCCTCTCCTTGTTTACTTCCACGGCGGCGCCTTCATCATCGAAACACCTTTTTCTCCTAACTACCATAACCTCCTCAACAACATTGTTTCAGAGGCTAATGTGATAGGTGTCTCTGTCCACTACAGGAGAGCACCGGAGCACCCGGTTCCGGCTGCCCACGAAGACTCGTGGGTTGCTCTCAAATGGGTCGCTTCCCATTCTGGGGGAACCGGCTCTGAGGAGTGGCTAAACGAGCACGCAGATTTTGGGAAAGTTTTCTTCGCCGGTGACAGTGCCGGAGCCAACATTGCAAGTTATTTGGGCATTCGTCTTGGGACGGAAGGGCTGCCCAGGGTGAAGGTTGAAGGGATTGCTTTGGTGCATCCTTATTTTTGGGGAGTGGAACCGCTTGAGTGTGAGGCGAAGCGGGCTGAAGACGCTGCGAAGACGCACAAGTTGTGGCGTTTTATATGCCCAAATACGACTGGATCGGACGACCCAATTATCAACCCGGGAGCGGATCCGAATCTGGGGAAGCTAGCTTGTGCCAGAGTGCTTGTTTGTGTGGCTGAGAAGGATTTGTTGAAGGACAGGGGTTGGTACTACAAAGAATTGCTCCATAAGAGTTCATGGCCTGGAGTTGTGGAGGTGGTGGAGACGAAAGACGAGGACCATGTGTTTCATATGCTGAATCCAAGCTGTGAGAATGCTAAGGTTCTGCTTAACAGAATTGTTTCCTTTATTAAACAGGATTGAACGTTGTTATGTATGTTTTAGTTATCCTTTTTAGTTCTCACTGTAATAGTGTTTGCATTCCTCCTTTTATGTTGTATTCTATCAAAGAAAAGAAATGAAGAACTTTTAATCTACCTGAGGATGTTTCCACAGAAGCATGGTTTCTAATTCTAATTCATATTTGATTCATTTGTGTAGCTCCGATAACCAATGAGAGATTAATTCGTCCATGGAACATAGAAAAGAAGAGGTTGAAATGAACATGAGAATATTTCAATTTTTTATTTTAAATAGTTTAAGTAAGGTAACAAAGTGACAATAGCTTAGTATCTTCGTATCTAACCTAGTAATTCTAAAAGTGACTTAGAAATGTTGTATTCCTATCACTGCTGATGTTTCTTGGTTGTCAGTGAAGTCTTACTACCTCTTTGATAAAATAAACCATTTGGAAAATCCATCAACAACTACAAAATAAAATATTTTCCTCTTTGAGTACGAAGCAAACCTAATACAAAGTTCATTGAAAGAAAGTGAGGGATGAAGGCAACTTGATACTCTAATTAATGACATTCTACATCGATTAGACAAGAAATTATAGATTACAAGATCAATCAATATTGTTTGTATTTTGCCTAACATATCACATATTCTTCTAACACAATGTAGAAAAGAGATTCTACATCAATTTTTTGTTTAACAAATGTAGAATGTATGTCTAGAAAAAAAATAATTTATCAAAGAGGACACTATTAAGTGTTGTACTTGGAGAGTTAATGACCCCACTGCATTGATATTAAATTGAAATAATTTTGGAAAAGAGATTACTTTTGTTGTGGAGATATGTACACCCACCCTTGTCATTGGTTCCGTTAAGAGATCTTTTAAAATTTTCCACAATTAGATACATTAACATTATTGTAGTCACAATTTAAATTAGAGTGTATCTGGCCGTAAGAATGAGACATAAAATATATAATTGTGCACTTTAGTTAGGAACAATTTTTTTATCCATCCAACTCCATTCATTTGGATTAGGTGTCCACTAATGCAACTAATTGATAAATTTATGTTTTATTCCCCTTCAACAATTTAGATACATGTTGACGTGTCAATCTTTCGTAAGTGGATCAGTAAGATTATATTTTAACTTGATAAAGTCAATAATATTGTTTCTGGTGAAAATTTGATCGATTTTGATTAAATAGAGACTTAGGTTCTAACCAAATTTTAACCACGTAGATTCTTTTTATTTAGGCTAGCAAACGGTTTTCAATCGAAAAATGCATGAGAATCAAAAATCTTACGGTTTCAAAATGTAAACAACACAACTTAGTATGCAAATCGAAAGATACTGTTTTTGGTATTTTTCATTAAGAGACGCGAAGTAAAGAAAACAGTAAAAAAATGTCGAATCGAAAGATAGTGCAGAATATTAAATTGCATAAAAACGTAAAGTGCGGAAACCTCAAACTTGCATTAAGTGTAAAAGGGCAAAGAATCAAACTTGCAGAAATGTAAATAACGGGAAATCAAAATTGCAGAAATGTAAATAACAGGAAATCGAAATTGCAGAAATGTAAATAACTGGAAATCGAAATTGCAGAAATGTAAATAACAGGGATCTTAAACGCATAACCTTAACTTGCATAAAAGTAAATGACAAGGAATCGAAAGGACAAAACTTAAAGTTTGACAAACGTAAACTGCAATGAAAGTAAATTACCAGGGAAAGTAGAGAAAGCGATAAAGATAATCAATGAAAACAGAAATCCAGAGCATTAGAAACTTCATGATGCGTCGTTCTCCTGTAGACTGTTCACTTGCGCTTCTGTTATCTCTGCCAATTTCCTCTTCTTCTTCATGCTTCATTCTATTTATAGGTCCTGCTTCAACGTAATTTCCTAAGAGCAGTTTAGAAAACTGCCACCACGTTCCATGTGCACGTACGTTAACTGTCTCTCGATTTTTATCTTAGCTGCGACTTTGAGAAAACTGTTTCCCACGTTTCATGTGCGTGATAACCGTTCCTTTGACCTCATCCATCGATTATTTAAAACTTTCTGGCTTTCCATTTAACTTCATACTCAATACCTTTCATCGATTTTTCTTCCCCATGATCATCGAATTTCCTGTATTTCTTTCGATTCTCGATTCCGATTCTCGATTCCAATTCTCGAATATGATTTCCCTTGACCTATTTTATCATTACCTTCATCGATTTCCCCCTCTTTCTTGATTTTTGATTCCCACTTTCGATCTACGCGTTCATACTAGTGGTCACCGGGTATCTCCCCACCACTCATGCGATCTTCGATTTTTCTCTTTTGTTTTTCGATCCTTGTATCGATTTTCCACTAACAAAATGCCCTCTTGGAAGAATATAAATATTTGTATCAATTTTATTTTATATTCTTTCAAAATGCTTCTCGCCCTCAAACATTCTGGAGGCCCAAAATAACTTTTAGGGTTTTAGGGTTTCTGGGGTTTTTTTTTGCTTTATGTCACCCATCAAATCACCTCCTTTCTGTTGTCATACTGCACACGCCACATTAATTACCCTCTTCACATCTGTCGTTTCAAATACCCTAACTTGGCTTCTTAAAATACTTTTATCAGTTTTTACCCTTGTTTTTACCATGAATCTCAGTTCTCCTTTGTTGCACTTCCTCATCTTCAACCTTTCTTCAACCTTACGTCTTCCCTTCTCTACCTACTGTAATGGCAACCTCCAGATCCTCTGATTTCTCCGCCCCACCACTTTCCTCAGTGACCTCCAACCTAATAGAAATCAATGGGAAGAAGTTTGCGCTGGTCCCTCTGATGGAAGAAGCCTCACAACGGATTGCCGAGACTCAGGTACTCATCCCTTACGTCGCTGATAATGTAACTTATGCATTTGGTGGTCCTATCCGCTATTGTGGCGGATCGTTTTCTTCTTCTCTTAGCCTTCCTTCAGAGAGTAAGCAGTCTGAGGTTCGAATAGATTTTCTGTAAATCGTTTCTAAAGTATATCGAACAGGCCCTCCTCACAAAAAACCCTTGTACATTAGATGGTTTGATCGAGTTAAAACTAAGTTTGGGAACCATTAGAGGGATGTAGGGATTTTCGATTTTCTGCATTTGTCTCGGTGTGATCTATCATTTTTAGATATGTCCATGTTTTTATCCGCCGTTCATTTATGGAATAAGGACTTACATGCATTGGAACTTCCATGTGGCCCCTTTTCGCCCACCCTTTTCGAAATTGCTGCTATTACTGGATTAAAGCCCACGGGGGAGAAATACTATAAGGGTGCTTTCCCTTCGGATAACTCTTTAAGGTCAAAAATCGATTGGGAATCGAAGGCCTATGGACATTTTCTCGAGAAACATTTTATCGATGATCACACAATGGCTATTTCTGATGAAGAGCACGTGGCCTTCCTGGTGTATTGGTTTTGCACCCACGTTTTTTGCCCTCGGTCCATCCAGATATCATCCCACCTTTATAACCTTGCCTATCTTCTCCACACTGGCCAACCACGAATTAATTTAGCAAAGTTATTATTGGCCCATGTTTATACTTCTTTTGATGAAGCTGTCGATATTTTGAACACCCCCAGGGCCTCGGGGAATTTTTCAGGTCCCATTTGGTTTATCCAATTATGGTTTACCTCAGTTTTTGAAAGTATCCTCCCTCCAACCTCCAACATTCCCTCAAGTTTAAATTTGGAAGGTGCTCGATTATCTACTCGACACTCTCACCACAAACCTGACGAGGCCAGTGATCATAATTACCTACGATTTTTGTTGACTCGATTTCACTTTGAGTCGAACTTGGCCCCCTTCACCGTATATAAAGGGAAAGTAAGTGACAAGCTTCGAGGGCCGGTATGGTTTAAGTCAAAATTCCCTGCTCTTACTCCCGGGTTACAATCAGAATTAATCGAAGTATGGAGTAATTACCTAACCCAAGATGTTCTGGTATCGGGTTTCCAATCGAAGGACCTTCAACTGGTCACTTATTATCCCCAGCTTTTCTCGCGGCAGTTTGGATTGAGTCAAGCTTTACCCTTTTTTCCCCTCGATACCTCCTCAAAGCCTAAACTAAGTGAATCGACTGTTGGACGGGAGCTTGCCAAGCTGTTGCCAAAAAACCCAATGCATTTTTACCCTTATATTTTTTAATCGAACTATTTATCTACACTTGGTTTTTCTCAGTGGTGGACCGATTGGTTTTCGAATATTCATTCTAATTTTGACATAGTCCAATCAAAATTGACTGCTCGTCCTTCTCTCGTGTTGCAGGACAAATCGAAGGCGAAGAAATGTACATACTCTCACTATCTCCAAATATCTCGATTCGAAAATTTTTATCGAGCATGCTACAACCCCTCGAAATTAGAAGAGACCTTTTATGATGTTGTTATTTCCCTAGTCAATAAAACAGACACTAATTGATCAAACCACAAAATAATCAATCCTCGAGGTAAAACCCCATTTGAAATGTATTGTCCTAACCATCTTCCCACTTTCCCTTCAGCCCCTTTTAGACTAGCCAAACCTTTAACTCATCCTAAATGGGTTCGAGAGTTAAGATCCCTGGAAGAAACTCTTTATCCCAAACCTAAAAACAAAGAAATTTCGATATCGAAATTTTCCTACTTCCCTTACCTGAATCTTCCTCAAACTCATCTTCCTCCCTGGCTTGTTCATATCGACCGAGTCAAGATTTTGACTCCATCATCCTTTGGTGAGATTTTTATTGCTTCTTTTAAGAATGTCTTCAATTTTCTTCAAATTGTAATCTAACTGTTTTTCCTTTTTTGATAGTTTTGAAGTCCCACAAAACCGTCGCCTCCGAGAAGGACTGGGAGTCCTCGGACGAGTCAGATCCATCGGCCCCCACTCATAAGCGCAAGCATTCTACCACCATCTCTTCATCTTCGAAAAAATCGAAGGTTTCTATTCGATTCCTTATTTGTCTTATTTATTCAACTTTCTTTGTTTATAGCTGATTCACTTCTAATTTCAGAAACAAA